AGATGACAAATTGGGTGGAATATATGTTAAGTTGTTGGACTTCAGGGATAGTATTGTTAATTTTTTCAGCTCCAGAAAGGCTGTTTCCTCAATTTCAAATGAAACATTGCACGGATTGCGGTAGTAACAGTTCTGTCCCAGATACAATACCTCTATGTTTCCTAGCTCTGACAAGTTGGCTTTCTGGATGGAAAAGATAGTATTTGCTTCCAGGCTCAGCAGGGTTAAAGTAGCAGGAAGACCTCGGGGTATTTCCAACAGTTGGTTTGCATCCAAGTACAATGATTTCAGTCTTGTCAGGGCAGCAAAACTGCCATTCTCAATCTTCAGTCTGCTGTTGCAGACAAGGTCTTTGGGCCCCATTCTTACAGGCACACAGTTGCATCTGAAGTCAATCTCCATGAGGTTTTTAAGTTGAGCAAAGGATTTTGGATCTATATAGGGGATATGGTTAATACTCAGGGTGAGGTTGGTAGCATTTTCAGGGATCCCTCTGGGCACTTCTGTGAGGCGCCGGTAGGTGCAGTCCACTGTCACAGTACCTTCTGAGGATTTAACATCACAGGGTAAAGTTTTGGGAAACCAAGCTCCTGACAGCATCATTGGAAACAGGAAGAGCAAGACAAATATCAATGCATTTGACATCTTTGCACAAGGTACCTAAAAACAAGGAAACACAGAGGTATTAGTTTAAGGCAATTAAACATTTCAGCCTCATAGTGGGCCAGACCAAATAGGTCTACACTTGTAGATGTACAGGTAGGATTGTAAGTTTTGTTGCTAATTTGTTGCTATTTTGTTGGTATTCCTTACTTTATTATCATGATGTATTGCAGTGTTAATATAAATGCCACACTTTAAATAATGAATTGGTTAAAAAAATCTACAGAAAAACTGATTGAAGTTTACGTCTCTGTGAATGTTCTTTTCTTTTAAGGGGAAACAGGAGGTGTTAAACTTCCAGCAGATTGCCATTGCATACTGAAATAGATGTTTCATAGTGTATGATAGATAAAACCTATAGTCACTTAAAAACTAGTGTAGACTTTCAAAGTTACTGAAGCATCAACACAGGTGGAGAGTTGACCTAAGCCAGTCTATGGCTTTATTTCCATAAGCTTTAAGAATAGGGAGACGAGAAAACACTGTGTTGATGTGAAGTGTGGAAATGAAAATCAAAGACAGGTTTAAAACTGGGCATGCTCCATAAAAGGTTAGTAAGCATTAAATACCCAGAGCCACAATTCCAGCTTTGGCTTGTGTGACACAGGCAGAGAGGCTATGACCATTTGCTGTGCTGCCCAGCATCTTAACTGCTGGTGTCAGGTGCTGGTCATTTCTCTCTTGAAAACTCAGGCTTGAAGGCTTGCAGATGCATGGCACATGGAGGGCTCTTAAACAAGCAGGATAATATCAATTAAATGTTAAAACCCAGGTAAGCAGCAGAAAATTGGACGATTACCTAAAATATCCAAGATACAAGGAAATGTTTTTTCTCTTTAGCTGGGGCACAAGAATATACAGAACCCTACTCAAGCAGTCCGTGCAACCCCTGTTGAGTGCTGCCAATGACATGTCTTGCAGGTGACGCAGACTTGGAGGTGAAGCAAGGCTTCCTGTTGTACGCTCGGTTCACTTCAACCACAGTGTCTCCTGGAAAACTTTGTGTTTCTGTGTTACCTTAGAGAACTATGCTAAACCTACCTCTGCATCCATGTACCTGGAAGAGTGCTGCAGTGATCTGCAGGGCAACAGATGTGCGAGAAAGCAAGTCAAATCTCACGCAGCACTGCACTTCTGCTATCTAGAGTCCACAGCCACGTGGCATCACTTTGGGGATTCAGAGCCCCAGTACAGAAATAAAATTGTAGAAGTCAACTGCAGATGTAACCTATTACAATACTACACCCCAGTCCTTCCTCTTCCGCATTCTTTCCCATTCCCTGGTGCTGCTATAGTGCCAGTTTCTTTTCAGCAGATCCTCTGAGAAAAGGCCAGGAGCTAAACAGTACGGCTGGTAGGAATCAATCTAACCATCATTTGGTTATTCATCATGGAATTCCCATTGGACTCCCACCCAGATGGAGGCCATTGGGTAAGAAAATTTACCAGCATTTTCAGCACAGTCTAGCCAT